AAATCAATGCGTCCATTGTAAGTGGCTGATTGATGACTAAAACTGCTAGAAACCATGAAAATATTGTTTCATTGGCGATACATAGATGTTATCGATATTTTCACGTACAAAAAAATCTAGGGTTTGATAACGCTGTATGACTTGCGAATTCACTCATTTCTTCAGTATTGTTTTAACATTACCTTTTAATTTCATGAGGTCCTCAATAAATCGATCTTGTCTCCTTTTCAATACTGATTACTGTATTTTTAATCCCTAAATTTTCGAGAATAAAAAAATATAAATGACTGCAAGTGGAATTGTTATTGGATCTGCCATAAATTTTTTACTCGTAGAAAATCGTGTCCGCTATCGATTTATTATCACATTATTCTATTATACGTTATTTCGCCTATATTTTTGCCATTTTGCTAATATTACTCTATTTATTATTTGAGAAAGACTTTTTCATACCATCGGTAGCTTCTTTGTCATCCTCATCCTCATATCATCCTTCTTCCGTTCATCTCGGCTTACGAGGACATTCAAATGTGGAAATTTTTGATATATTTCGTTCAAAATGGTCACGCTAAATTTAAGATGGATTCTTCTACAAAAGTACTTAATAATGATATCTAATCGTTCAAAGATTTGTACAATCATAGGAAAGATTTCCGAAGAGATGTTCAAGTAAAAAACGGCAAGCCATAGGTGGGCACCTAGAGGATCAACACTAAGCTCGCCCAGACATTGAGACATTTTCCAGTACAGTATGCGGTGCATCTTCTAAGGTTTCTTAAAGAAGACTGTGAATCCGAGATAAACGGGAGAAAAATATATGAGAAATTAATGAGAGGCTTTGAAAGGAGACATTCCGTCACAGCATGATACTAACTAGCATGCGTACAGTTGCTGGATCCTTGACTCCAGCTCTAGGTCCATTAAACTCTGCATCTTGCCAGCATCAATGCCACGGCAACATACTCGTCTTTTTCAAAGCGTTGGACATCTGTTTGACTACTCTTCTACTTTTTTTGAAATGTTACGCTAATATAAGGTCAGTAAAAGTTTTATTCGGATAACATTTCGACTTCCGCGTCCTTCTCAGAGCCGAGTTGATTCGCGTGGATAGCCCAAATCCGTTCGCCCTCGCAATTTCAGCCTTTGTTGTTGCAAGAAGTCGAATCCGTCGCGGTCGGGTACCACCGGACGAATGAAGAACCCTGCTCGGCAATGATCTCTTATGCAGGACGGTTGTTGATCTGATGCTGCCACTCAATGACCTACTGATCTGTGCACTCTGCAGAAGTCGCAGTTACATAGTTTACTTGACAAACGGCGAGTCAATATTTCTAAAACCGACTTTTACGCAAGCAAGGTTTTTTATTCAAGCGGTGCTGAGCTCCAGCGAATTCGATTCGATACAATAATGAAGACCCACATTGCAAGGACGAACGGCTTAGGACAATTGATCCGAATGAATCCGGCTCCGAGGAAGACGATAAAATCGAAACATTAGCCGAATAAGACATTGCAGCATCCTCGTTTTAACTTAACAACTCAAGAGAGTATTAACCATTTGTAACTGGGTTAAATTAAAGTCCGTTTATAGAAATATTGCCTTACTATCGTAAGATGTTGTGCGAACAATCTTCACATTTCCCCACAAATAATTTAGGCCGTTCTCTTAGAGTTTGTTACTGGGTGATGGATGATGATGAGCCATTCACCACTCCGTGCAGCCAAATTTGGAGTGCATGAGACTGCCTAGTCAAACACGATCTGCGCTTCTTGGCGTAGGATTCATCCTCCCCAGCAAGGTACGACAAGATAAAAAAGAGTTCACCCTCTTCGTCAGGAGGCTCCTCTTAGAGTGAATTATTGTCAGGAGTCGCTGCAATCCTGACAAAAAAGTCGTTATTTGTTGTTGGCGTGTGGCGACAATCTCGAAACTCTCTAGGGCGACTTTCGGAACTCTAAAGAAAGAAAATCTTCCTCACACAACTAATTATTTTCTAGAAGTAGAAGTTTTGCTGCGTCTTGCACAACTCATCATTAGTCGCGATTAGTCGCGATAAGCTGTTATCCAAGCTTTCAAGTAGGAAAGTTCTTATCCAGTTAAAGTTCAGTCCAACTATTCATACAATAGATTCCTCGAGGGAAAAATATGAAATTTACATGTTTAATTCCCATTACATTAGCCATTCACCACTCCGTGCATTCAAATGTGGAGTGCATGAGACTGCCTAGTCAAACATGATCGGCTCTTCTTAGCGCTGTTACTTAGGCATTGTCAGGTTTCCGGTCAGGTATATTTAGTGGTGTGAAGGCAAACAAATATGTACTCAATATATCCTCCCGTCGTACGGTCACAGCCGTATGGAAATTAAAGCAACACTGGGTTCCTTCACCTATCCCATCCTATAATTTTGCTACCATGGATGTGCTAGAGATCTTCTGGTCATAAAGGAAACCCCGACAATGCAGAGAGAAAATCTGACTATCTGAGTGCTTCAACTTCATTCTATTTTACATCAAAGTGTTCTATTTGTTCGAACAGTCTAACAAAGAAACACATACGCCGCGTTACTCATCACTACTTGTCATTTTTCTTCTTCGCCTTCATTGGATTCGTTGTTACTTACGATTTGTGACAACGACTGAATAGTTAAATGTTGTATCCTCGTTCTTTTTATTTAGAATCATCGAGAAGACTTTTAGTTGCCCAAATTTCAGATATGAACCGTGTGCTAGAAATCGAAAGTGTACTTCATCGATTGTTGGCAGTGGACGAAGCGAATTTAGTTGTGAACAATGACTGGAACGACATCGCCGACGATATTATTAGGGTGACTAATTTCACAAATCACATTAACCGTGTGGTAACCAAATGTGTTGATATCAATACCTAAGTGGCCGAAAGAGTAGGTTTCCAACGTCGAACAAACACATATGAGCACGTTGGGGAATTTCATAATAACTGAAAGAAAACCCACGAGAAAATTTAGATTTTTCCTGATAGATAGAAGTATCGAAGAAGATAGCCATGGCAATCGCGTTAAATTTTTAAAAAATTATCTTCAAATAACGTTTTCCTCTACTCATCAAAAGGTTCACAAAGGTTTTGAGAAAACAAAAGCGATAGAGGAATATCTCTATGTCTCCTAATCCTACATCCCCTATCTTTCCTTTATCATGTCTTCAATTTTTGAAAAACTCTAGTCACCAAAAACCGGTTACCAAACAGCTAACGTGGTCGAGAATGTCCTGATGAGTCATGTGTTCATAGATCGGAAGACGAAAGTTCCTTATACTATGTTTTAAAACGAGAAGTATGTCTTACCTTAGCAATGAAACCGATAGCTGCAGTGCCATGTGGTTAGCATCGGGCGGCCTTTCTTTATCCTTCTTTAACCTAATACATCTCATAAAAGATTAAAAGGAAGAGAAATATAACGGCGAGACAAGTGAGAATTCAATTCCGAATAATCTGAAGAAATAAGAATGTCTTCGTAAGGCAACCGAACTATGGTCATCTCAAGACTTTATTTCATCATTGCCTACTTAGATAGTTGGATGGCCCGTCTTCACTAGTTTTGCGGGCCACAAAATAATTTTCATTACTTCAGAGTTTTACTGTTTTAGCCATTGTGGTTACCTGAAGTCCCGAGTTCAGCCAGGCTAAAGTCTGCTCCAGGTGGTGACCAAAGACCAACACAGGCACTCGCCGCCCTTGTGGGTAAGGGGGAGATTTGCCACCATGCGACTAGTTTGAGACCAGGATGGTGATGGATCCTGGTATTGGTTTACTCTTAGCTAATCTTAGCCTAGTGGATAGCCCGGACTCCTTCTCAGATTGGGAGACCTGGAGATGAATCTCCCGCCGTACATGGTAGTCCGACACTTAGGGACACCTCCCAGCCACGATGAGGCGGTAGATCGTTGGGACGGTTTCAGTTTTCATTATATTGAAAATTTTTTGTTCTGCAACAATATTTAAAAGCTAAAGAAAAAGCTCTCGGCGTTGATCAATCCCTGCGGGATGCGCCATGCATTCGACTTCATTAAGTATCGTTGGAGGTGATTGAATGCATAAGGCCTTTACAATGACTCGCAGTAGCTTACCGATGTATCGAACCAGTGCTTCAATCCTCCCAAACAGATCTGGTACCAATTTTCCGAACCCGAAGGGATGGACGGCTTGGTGAGCCATGGGCGCGGAGATCGATTCCGCGTGCGTGTCGCAGTGTCACCTCCAGCCACTGCGCCACACGCGCGCTATCGAAAAGCTATGATGCCTAATTGGCAAGAATAATGTTTTTATTTATTACTATGAATAAGAATTTTTACCGAAGAAACACCGTGTTTAATTTCTTCTAAAAAATTCCTTTGTATGTCAGTTTATTTGGACGGATTTGTAAACTAGGAAAATGGTGATGTATCCCCACTTAATCAACGATCTTCATTTTTAACAATATAAGATGAGGAAACAACTACTTAGAGAACAAAGTGCTAAAACAATCTGACATTCAACTTCAATGATCCTGCGGTCCGGAGTGTTGAAAATATCTCAGCATCATTGAAGTTATATTTCGCAATACACCCTGCCATTAAGAAGAATAGGCAGTAGATAAAAAGGTTAGGAATCTGGCATTCAAAAAAAACCGAGGTAGCAAATTGCACACGCCAGCTTCATTTTCAACTATTTTTACTACTTTTTTTCAACGTCTTTTTTCTCACTATGGTGATGTGATTTCTTCAGTTGGCATCCTCAATGAAGTTAAGCTACTTCTTCCAGAAATCTCCCAGAAATCGTTTTCAGAAGCTGCATATGATTCGTGGACAGTGTTATCGACCGTTCTCACCCGCTTCGTCCGAGTGTTCGCCGAATCCGTCGTCCGCGTCGCCCCGTCCACACGAGTTCACACCACCACCAAGCACGCAGAGTTCTGCTGACAGTGAAATATGTAAGTAAACCACGATCGTTTTATTGATCTTATCGATCACCACTGTGTTTTGTTATGGACTCAGCGGTACTATTGATTGATTTGGTTTCAGCTGAACCATCTCCAGTATCGTGCTCATTAGATACCTCGTATCAAAGCGCCACTAATGCCTTCAATCGGGAGATCTTCTCCAGATGTGTGCAGATTGTTGAGGCAGCAGACAAGCAAGGGCATATTGAATTGTATGTTACAATTTAACTACTATAAACTTACAGCAGACTACAAGGAAATTGCGGTGAAATTTAAAATTAAGTGTGAAAATAGCTAAAAGTTATAAAAAATCTTTCGAAACGTGACCCGTACCACCTGAAATAACCCATCCTGGTATGCAAAAATCTAGGAAAAAATACTTTGAGAGTTAGCCGACTTCATTTTGGAGATTGAAAATGCGGATTAAAACCTAGACCAGATTAGGTTGTTTGCACCGTGGCACTTGCTCTGCCCACGTTTTTTCTTGAATAACATCACGTTCTGCCCAACGGTTTACCGCCTCATCGTGGCTGGGAGGTGTTCCTGGGTGTCGGGCTGCGATGTACAGCAGAGGGATTCATCCGCCAACTGAGCCTCCCAAGCTGAGAAAGAGTCCGGCTTTTTCATCATGAAACCTAGCTAAGACTAAGCCATTACCAGGATCGACATCCGTCCTGATATCAAACTAGTCGCATGGTGGCAAATCTCCATCTGATCCACAAGGGCTGAGACTATCTGTGGTGGTGACGACCTGGGGCAGACTTTGGCTAGGCTGATCTCAGGGCTACAACGGAACACATACAGTAGCTAAACCAGCAAAACTCGGGAAAATGGAGATTATGCTGGGCCCGCACAACTATTGAGGATGGGCCGTCCAAGTATGCAAGTAAGTAAGTAACATCACGTTTTTACAAGAACGGAGGCAGATTTCAATCGAGGTCCTAAAATTCGAGCATCATCTAAATGAATTACAGCTATTTTATTAATTGGTTTCTAGACAAATGATTTCACTTGCTCATCACTCATACATTGCGATGGTAAACGAAGCAGATGAAACGGAAGATGCACTGAAGCTGGCAACGTATTGGAATACGTTCCTTGGTAAGTGGGAAGAAAGACGAACTTTTCTTTCTTCATACGAATTTTCTGTGCCAATGCTATGAAAATCATGTGATCATGACTGAGGTACGGTACTTTTCGAACTTGTTAATTTACTGGTTTGTTGCTGCAAAGAAATATATCATGCTCGACTTATCCGTTTACGAAGTTTCTTCATAGTTTTAGAAAACCAAGATAGTGATATTAATGGTGAATTAGTGATAATATTTAATGATAACCATAGGAAATAAATAACACTAATTAATAATTGGGGATAAATGGCAATAGTAAAAATATTAATTCAATACGATGTCAATTACTGTACTTTATATCTGCTCAGAGCGAGTTCAACGTGGACGACCTAATGCTGAGTTGCTGGAAATTCTTGATATGCAACTGATGGCGTTGGAAAACCTCATGGAACTCAATGACACCAATCGTGAATCGTTGGCAGAAAAACTACTCTCCATACTCGTGAAAAGCTACAAGGTACTACAGTGATGTAGATTCTATTATGTGGTTGGAGTCACAAGCCAGCTATAGGTATACTGGAATAAATTGTATAAAAACTACCATTATGTAGTAAATAAGACTACTGTTTTTGCACGAACCATGACGTACTGTAATAATCGCGTCATAGGATGTTCTGGAACATTAATACTGGTGTTGTGGATTCAAAGCTTTAGGACAACTTCTACATTAATAATGAATCGGAAGACCTCAACAAATTGTCTGCAACTATAAAAATACTTTTCAGTATAAGTCTATTATTTGCAAAACTCTGAAACCCAGGTGTCCGCGGCCTGGAGTTTTGCAAATATCTCAGCATCATTATGATTATATTTCATATCATGTACTGCCATGAAGAAGAATAGGCAATAAATCAAAAGTGACCACATCGTATTTTGTAGGACTATTATTTCCACATCAACGATATAGTGAAGATTTGCTATGTAATGATCTTGATACGCAAGACTTCTTGATTCGTACCAAGACATCAAGGCTCAAACTTGGATTATTAAACCATTTGTATGCATATTTACGCGACAATAACGCAATAAAATTAAAAATGCTTGCCACGTGAATAGATTTAGTGGGCAGAAGTAATATACGGAGGAACTTGCACTAACAATGATGTAGAGCATTGTACTTACTTGGATACTTGGACGGACCGTCTTCACGAGCTGCGCGGACCCCAGCACATATGCCATTCGTACTTTTCTCTCGCAATCGTAGTCCATGGTGGTGGTTTTGTTTGAGCATGGTAGCGGTTGCAAGTCTCATACCGTGATCTGTAAAACAACTGCAGCTGCGGGTACAGCTGATTAACTTTGTTTATGAACACGTCCGCCCAACGCGTAGGGGGTCGTCCAAGCGGACTTTTGCATTCTCTTGGAGTCTACTCTACTGTCCTTTTCGTCCATCTGTCGTCTGTTTTTCTAATTATGTGTCCAGCCCATCTATGTTTCGCTATCGATGTATATTCTCCTGGATCTCGAAGATGTGTCAGATTTCGAAGGTCAGAGCTTCGCATTCCGGCTACATATTGAGAGTGCCGGTTATATTTCAGAAGACATCGCTCAAGCGTTCTGTGAGTAGTGCGAAGCATTCTTGACGTGGTTGAAGTATCAACCCACGTCTCTGCATCATAACAGAGCGCTGGGAGGGCCGAAGAATCAAAGAGATGGGCGCGGATTTTCGGGTCCTTCAGTTGATCGGTGGCTTCTTTGAGAGGCCTGAATGCGGCTCAAGCTACTCTCCTTCTATCTAGTTCCTCCTTTGTGTTGTTTTCCATGTTCATTGATCGCCCAAGGTAAACATACGAAGTGGTCTCTGCAATAAGAAGCCATCCAATTCAATTTTTTCGCCTTCGCACCATGGTTTTTTCATGAACTGGGTCTTCCGATTTATGCGAAGTTCGACCTTTTTCCCCACTTCGTTGAACTCGTTGATCATCACCTCCGCTTCGCTAGTACTTCTTGAGAAGATGACAATGTCGTCGGTAAAACGAAGGTTTGACAGAAATATACCATCAATAGGTATGCCTTTGTCATCCCAATCGAGTGACTTCACTATCCACTGCAGTGCGGCACCGAACAGCTTTGGCGATATTGTGTCGCCCTGTCGTACCCCTTTTCCTATGGGTATGGTAAGAGGTCGATGGAAAAGCTGCGTTTTCGTAGTGCAGTTCCTATAATAGTCGGATAGAGTCCTTCGGGTCCACTCTTTGCTCGAAAAGCGCTGATAGGATTACATTCATTTCGACACTGTCAAACGCTTTCTAATCGTCGATAAAGGTTAGGGCTAGAGGCAAATGGTGTTTCTGACAAATTTCGATGACCCTGGACACAGTTTGGATGTGGTCCATGCAGCAAAATCCTTTTCGAAATCCTGTTTGCTCGACTGTTTGCGCCTCGCCCAATGTCTTTGATTAGGGCGAGGGAATAATCTTTGGGAAGAGCTTGTAGAGTACACTAAACAAGCGTATCAGGCGGTAGTTACGAAAATCTCTTCGGTCATCTTTCTCGAGCAGGATGATCGTTCATCAGGGCTGACGGCGGAACATCCTTAGTAGTGATGGAGATGCGATCCGATCTTCTTCTTTGAGGACCTGAGGCGAATTCAGCACAGCTTTTCAGTCCTTCGACAAGCAGCTCGTAGTTTTCGGTCGGGTCTTCTTTTAATCTGCCAGTCACGTTTGGACAGGACTTCGTTTAGAATGTTTTCGTCGTATACAGCTACACTTTTTCCTCGTGGTCTATGAAGGGAGTTCTTTTCCAGCTTGCGGTTGAATCGAACCTTCGCGCGAAGAAGGCGGTGATCGGAACCAGTACAGAATGACGGGACTACCGATGTGTCAAGTAGGGCCCATCTTCTGTTTGTCAGAATATGGTCGATCTCCGCATGAGTCATGCCGTTGGGAGACTCCCATGTCCAGCGGTGGCTTTCTTTCTTCTGGAAAAACGAGTTTCCATGGAAGAAACGTGCTGCTGACAGGAGTCCTGCGAGACGGTTCCCATTCTTATTTCCTTCTCCTAATCCAAAATTTCCGATCCTGTATTCGCTCTCGTTGGCCTTTCCTATTCTGGCGTTGAAGTCTTCAACAACGAATTTATGATAGGCTTTATCATTGCGGATTACTTCCTCCCACTGATAGTAGAACGCATTTAATTCGTACTCATCAGCTACCTCGGTCGGTGAGTAGCAGTTGATGATAGTGATCTTATGATGCGACAGTTGAAGACGGAGTACGGCAGTGCGAGAAGAGAGGATGTCGTATGAGTCGATGAGATGGACAATGGACGGGTGGATGACAAAGCCTAGGGCACCGACATTTCGTGACGAGACCTTTTCTCCACGGATCACAAGGGTTCCGTTGTTTAGTTGGCCTATGCCGGTCTTCTTGATTTTTTTTTTCTTGTAATGCGATCACATGAAATTTGATGCGATCTGCCGCTACAAGAAGGGCGCGAAGATTGGCATCTGTGGAGAGTGTTCTGGCATTATACGTGTATAGTAACAAACAATCTCCATGGCGTGTCGTGCGTGTGTTCGTCAGATCCGGTTCCAATAACGTCCTGCGTAACCCGAGACTTTTTGGCCTCTCACCGGTCGTCTCAGCGCCTGACGTCATAGACGGGAGCAGCCAGTGTGCGGAGTACTGAGGCTGGCCTATTGCTGGTCGTGCAACTTGGTCCTCCCTGGAGTCCTGACGTAACCTTGCAAGGGCGTATCTAGGTCTTTACCACGATGTAGTTCAGAGGGAGGTGTATTTTCGACGACGAATCCTTTGCTCGGTCTTCCTACTAGTTTATTCGGAGAGATGTGAAAACCGAAATCAGAAACGAAAGTAGGAATGTAAAAGTAACCGACTGCTCAAGGACGATGTAGATACCGAATCCCACTTAGAGCACGGTGCAGCAGGTTTATAGGGTTATGCGATGTAGTTATAAATACAGTTTAGGTAACAGTACAAAATTAATATAACTGCAACGACGTAAAACAGCGTAAGGGTTTACGTGATCACCGTGCAGGAATGCCACAGCTATGAAGAAGTTACACTAAGAACGAGGACGATTATTCTTCGAAGTTGCAAGTATTAGACAGGATAATTTACCTATCTCGCAAATACACCAAGTGATGTCGGTAGATTTGCGTGAAGCATAATTGTGCGAAAATAAACTGATGTGGCAATGGTGATGTTCGTAAAGCACTCAGCACAAATATTTAAGAGGGTTGCTAGATTAACTGCGGATAGTGAACGATTAGCAATCGTAGTGAACAACGGTTGACATAACTTTTATATGTCGATAATTCAAGAGCGCGAAACTTTAGTTAATATCATTTCTGTCTAAGAAGCGCGTGCCGCGCAGTGGTCGGAGGCGCCCTGAGATACATATAGAATCGATCCCGATGCCCATGGTCCACAAAGCCCTCCATCACTTCGGGTTCGGCAAATTGGTACGAGACCATCTTGGAGGATAGTAGCACTGGCTCCGTACATCGATACGCCACCGTGAGTCACCGCATAAGCCAGATATGCATTCAACCACCTTCGGTGATGCTTAGTGAAGTCGAATGCATGGCGCATTCCACAGGAATAGATCAACACCAAGATCCTTCATCCTTTAATTTTACTTATTCCCGACCAACCAAATCGAAAGAGTTCTAATCAAAGATCAAGCGAGAGAACAAAATGTTGAGGAACGGGAATGGCAGTATTCACACGTTGTCTGAAGAGAAATGGCACTGCTACGGGGCGTGGCTAATGTCCAGGAGGATGGCAAATCCCTCAGGGTCGATCCACTAATCGATGACCAGCCATGACCAGTAATTTAGGTAGTATTAATGCAGAGTAGGCATACGGACCTTGTGTCGAATAACTTGATATGCAGTAGGTTACGTCACGGGGGCAACAATGTAAAAAAGATACATAATTAATATAAGGCAAATTAAAATGAAGGATGAGGCCTCATCAGTGACTGTACTTTTAGCATAGCTTATTGAGAACTACAAAGTACTGGAACACCTCTAGGAAAGTTCTCATGATTCTCTTTATAATGGGAACTGAAAGAGTACAGTACTTATTTTTTAAGTCTGCCATTTATGACATTATTTGAAGGCACCATATCAGTAGCTTTAATGTTTCAATCTGGTAGCAACCACTGCAATCTTATGAAGTGGTCAGAAATGATTATAGATTTCCTGTGTTGTCAATCGCCACTTTTATTCACGCTCTCTACGACGACTGGAGAGAATTGCCTTATGGTTGCAGAATCAGGGAAGCGGCGGTAGGTTACTGAGTTATTACTTGTAAATGGCTACTTTTCGAAAGTGATATGCCCATCATATGGTATTTCCTACGTTAAAGAACTAAGGGTAGGCGATAAAGTATGTTGATCGATATTGTTTAGGTCATCCAACCATTATTTATAAGTGTGGCTTAAAAAGTGAATATGACGTTTTTCTTTACAAGGCCAGTTGCGGGTTTGATGAGTTAATCACTTTGCTATCTATATGGATGTGGCCAAAATCGTCATGGT